CATCCATCCATCCATCCATCCATCCATCCATCTTTTTCATCTTATCTATCAGGGTGGGGCTGAACCATATCCTTACAAGAAGGACTTAATTTCTGGAATGCCAATAATTATAAGATTTTTTCCACTATCATGAAGGATATTATTTTTTATAAAAGCATTTTATAAGATAAAACTAAAATGAAACATTTCATAGAAAATGTAAATCAAGGCAGAGCTAGAGATGATCATGGCCTTCCCTAGGAAATAATTCACCAACAAGCAGTTCCCCTCGAAACCAAAGAGTGGAAGTAATGATGATTATAAGTGGGATGTCACAATTAATTTGACATGTTTATTGTTTGTATGTGAATCTTAAACTCACAATTAAGATGCACTAATTACTTGTTTACATCAGCGCACTAACAGTAAAGATTTCAAACAGAACTTATTTTCTTTTTTGTTTTCATATTAGGCAAGAGAAGTGACAGTCATGTGTCTCTGCAGTCCTCTAGTCCTCTGTTTAAATAAAGATTAACTGCTAAACCAGCTTAATGTGAATATTCTGCAGAATCATCAGTAATCTAGACCTCATATATAAATGAGTGCGCAAATTTATTAGCAAGGGCTTCACGAAAATCTGGTCTGACTTCTGGGATTTATTGGAAAAAATACAAACATTATACTGTTTTCTTTTTCCCCATTGATGCAGTACTATTAGTGCAGATTGACCCTGAACTGGTTTTTGTGTCAGTTTCTGGCCCCCCAGCAGTGCACATTGGTCCCTCCCTGGCCAACCTTATGGAATTTATCTGCTTCGCCGCTGTTTTAAATGTACATCTGCCAAGTGCATCTATAATTATTTGATTGTGGGTGAAAAATGCACCCTTTCATTTGATTTTTCCACTTTAATTATTTTGTTTTTAAATGTTCATCTTCTTCAGCTCAAAACGCCACAACATCTCCGGCTAACACTACCACCCCATCAGCTCCAAAACCGAAGCCCTCTGGCTATCGGACTCTTCCAGTTGACGTTAAAGTGGCTGTGGGCGAGCCTGCAGAGTTTAGGTGTGGAGTGTCTGAATCATCTAAGAACCTTACCTTCACTTTCTACTGCAGTCATGGAAACTACACTCTGACCTGCCCTGGCGGCAAGGTGGAGGACATTGCCGAGGTGAGCTGGGCACTGTCCGACACTGCAGTTATTAATTTACCTCTTACAATAAACCTACTTTCTTTATTGTGTTGATTCAAAATAGTTTTGCAGATTCTGCCACCTTAAATTGTATTGAATGTTTCCAGCCCTTTGTATTTAACCCAACTTTCAATGACTAAGATATAAAATATACGATTATGAGATGAAATGTTTGCTTTTTCTTTTCTGACTCTAACCTCAGGCTCTGTATGGTAGCTGTGAAGTAAAGAATGGTGAACTGGTGGCTATTTTGAGTCTCAAAGGAACCTCCTACTCTGACAACAATGCACGAGTCGTTTGTCATCATTCAAAGGCTTCAGATCAATGCACTGCTGTCCTGCATATCTATGGTGAAATGATGAATCCTTCAAATGTTATCTTCCTATCTGGTCATAGCTGAAAAAATGCTGTTTTTATTTTCCCCACTCCCGCCTGTAGATAATGGTGCCAGCAACGCTGTCCTCATCGGGTGTTTGATTGGAGGATTCTTTGGGGCCCTTCTGGTTTTCGGCCTCATTTTTCTCCTGCTGCCGAATTCTTTCATCCATCAAAACTGTCTTAGTAAGCAACACCCTATTGATTGTGTAGAAAATATTAAAAGCAAACTGTGTTGACAAAGTCTTAAGAAATAATGTAAGATGCAAAATCTTTGTTTTTAGGTGAAGGTGAAACTGAAGACGACCTGGATGCGATTGTAAAAGAATGAAGAAAAAAAGAGAAATGCAGTTTAGATAAACTGCCTTTATCTGTAAATGTGTGCTTCTAAATCCAGTTTAACTGAGGTGATGCTCATGGTAACCGTTTTCTACAAATGATTTTTACTTTCCTCTGAGAGCTGCTTTCCATCTTCTACATTTAATCATTGGATGATGGACATATTTACACAAAAATATGCTGTGTTGTGCACCTTAAATGCAGTACCCCAATTACCCCACATGAGGGCAGCATTTTTATGAAGCTATTTTCCCATCAACAGAATGTGAATTAAAAACTGTCAAACTGCAAACAGCACATGTGGCTTTTCTAAACTAACGAGGTGTTTCTATATTTTCTTTCTGGTTTATGCTTCATGAAGCATCAGTTTGGTCTGATTCCAAAGGAAGCTGAAGCTATTTTCTCTTCTTCTCAGTTTTTAGTATCAGTTTCAGTTAATTTGAATAAAGTTACATCAATGCAAGTAAAGATGAGTTGGATGTGATCATGTTTGCTTGAAACGTGCAGAACTGAAGTCAATCCTGATAGCCTACAAGATAAAGCAGCTCTGGCCCACTTTTTACCCAATGTTACATAAATGAGAATCAACTAATTACCACAGTCAAACATTATCTAAATATTCAAATGATTCTTAACATCTACATAAAAACTCTTTGGTATACTTACACGTACAATATTCCTTCTTGTACAGTCACACATTGTTGAACATATAGGGAGCCCCGTGTTCAGTGTCTTTGGTGCGGACACGTTAATATCTTTAATATGGGAAGATGATCTCTGATCCACTTTGGTCACAGCTGTTTAACTCAAATGTCTATTTATTGTTAACAGTTTTCTTTACCTATTTTATATGGATCCTACTTTCCTCTTTAATTTCTAATATTTCATGTGATTCAGTGCATTAAAATACTCTTCTTGTTTATATTTGTATATCCTGTGTAGCTGACTGTGACTCAGTTTCAGTGAATAGACAGGTCCATGTAACACAAATAAAGCTGTCTAATATAAAACTGATGTCTTATAGCATGTTTTCTTCCCTAAATTGTGGGCTGTTGCAGTACAATGAAACATCAGAAAAGTACATCACCACAGAACTAATAGTACAGCAATAACACAGCAACTTGTGTTTAATGATTTCAGTCTTCCACAGTAGTAGCCATTCAGAATTTCCCCACTTTCCTTGATGGGCCCTTGGCTGCTCTTTGCCTGGTCCACTACAATTCCTTTTTAAACATCTATATTTGTACTAAAATATTCTTTCTGTCATGATTTGTGGATGTTAAGATCTAAAGAGAAGCATCATCTACTGGTCAGACCCTGTAATTCAGTGAAAGGGTGGAATCAGAGTAAAAAAATATGCATAAGGGGGGTCACTCCAGTGGCTGGAGGTTGGAGGGGATTTTGCTGGGAGTTGGAGGGAAGTCGGCTGCCATTCAGCTGATGTTTGACTGGTAAAGGCCATTTTGAATGGCTGCTACTGTAATGTAACTATATTGCATTTTTCACAGTTAAAAGTGAAAAGCTGCATCTGTTGCAGATTGTAATTGTAAAGGGGACAGGCGAGAGAAAATTTCCTCATGTGTTTGTTGCCCCCTAGTGGTGTTGTCATGTATGTTTTATCAAACTTTATTTCCTTAACAATGCAACAGTTAAAAGGGGAATAGTAAATCTGCTGACAGAGCTTGAAAAGCAGCAGCTCACATTTGCCGCTTATTCTCAGCTATAAGAGCAGACTTCCTTAAAATTGATGTTTATGAAACAGTTATGAAACAACTGTGATTAACCATTAATTTTTAGTTCCACTTTACCAGCCACATGCATGCCTTACTTCTGCAACACATAAAGAAATCTGATAAGCTCTGAGACAGCACACCACCCAGACGAGAAACAGACTTTCTGAATTCAGTCTGCAATAAATTGCCTTAAGCTTCTTGATTCCAGGCATGACTCACATTTACCAAAAACTGGTTTTTCATGGTGGTTATGTTGTGAAGGCCTGAGGCAGCTCTTCCTCTTTGGGACTTGGACAATATGTTTTAATATTTGAAACATTTCAGGAACTAGCTGTATTTGCCCTTAATTGGAACAGATACATAAGAGGATTTGTTAATGGAATAAATATTTTTGCCCTTAAAATAAGATAAAAATATATTATGCTCTTAAAAGAAGACAAAATAATTATTTTAAAATCCTCTTATACCAGTGGCAAAGTGCCTTACCTGCCTAAAATAATGAAAAGAATCATATTTCAAGAAATATTGTCTAACTTATATTTCAATGTTTGCGGTGCAGAAACTCTTAAAGGGAAAAAAACATCACCAAGTGAGATCTTTCGCTCAAGCTGTCTTAGGTTATGTAACAGTACAGTGATCCTAATCACACCACACTGGAAAAACGATCTACAAATAAGCAAAAATGTCTTCAATTAAATGTTTTTACCCTTGATTTGAATAGGTAGGTTATGAAAAATTGCCAATGGAATGAGTATTTTTACTGTTAAAATAAGATAATTAAATATGCACTTGAAATAAGAGAATTCAGTTCTGTCTTATTATTTTAAATCTAAATTGTATTGCTCTATTGGCAAAATGTCTATTTTATCTCCTCAATTGAAGAACAAACTCACTCATTTTGAGTGACTGATATAGATTTACATTTTTTAAGGTGCATGAAGTCTTTAACTGAATGATTGAAAAAAGAAGTGGCCAATATTAGCCCTGGATACAAATCTGACTGAGATGCTTCCATTCCATGATACAAAGCAGATTGTTTATGATTGAAAAATCCTCCATTGTTGCTTAGTGAGGAATCTTCTTTAAAAAGAGATCTTAGACACAATGTTTGATGGCAGCTGTTTTTGCCAAGAGGATCACAGCAGTTTTTCTTAGGTTAGATTACTTTTTTCACACTTGACGAAAATTTTTCATACAGTAGATCAATACAGTGTTTTTTTTATTATTATTCTGACTTGACCATGTTTATATTGGAATGCATTTTATAGTTATATGATTGTGGGGAAAAAAGACAGGAAAAGATAAAAAGGGGTTGGAAACATCACTTTGAGTTCTAATCTGCAGAAGACACACATTTTCACAAAGACGAACATCCTCAGCACACACACACTCACACACGCACTGAGGAGAAAGCCAGCAGGAGATATTTCTCCCTCGTCTTTGAGCTGATACAACAGAGTAAGTATGGAGCAACGTGTTGATTCAGCTGCTCATCCATTCCTTGGTTCACTATGTGCTGGACTCTTCCTTAAATGGGATTCTGTTATATTCAGATCCACTGAATGGAAGTCTGTGGTGTTCCCAGGACTTGGCTAAAAGAGGGCATGTGTGTAGGAGTTAGTGAGGTCATGTTGCTCCTGAGCTCTTGCTTTAACTGTGACACAATCCATGTCTTTTAAGTGTTTGGAGGTGATGATGTATTCCTGCGTACCTGAACAAGACATTCAAAAGAGCAACATGGGAAGATGAATATTTTCCTATTTAAGTTAAAATTTGCATTTTCTTTTATTTTTTGTTGAAGAAACAAAGGCTACAGCATGCTCTTGCAGAAGAGGTGTGGTTTGTAGCTAATCATGTTATCAATAGCTCCTCCTGTCCTGTTTAATTTCTGTAACATTCAGAAGCTAAAGAAGGTCTTTTGCTGACAGATTTAATGCAATGTGAGCTAACCTGTGCTTAGACCTTTACTAGTGCTGTTTATGGACAAACACCCTTAAATACCACCATAACAGAGGTGTGTGCCTGGCCATGCGTGTGAGATAACCTTCACTGGTTCGTGTGATCAAGCTGTGACCTTTCCCTGACAATACAACAGTTTAAGCACATTATAACCAGCCTGTGTCAGGGTTAAAGTCAAAAATGTTAAAAAGAGTCAAAAACAGAAATACAAAAGGTTTAAAAGTGGGAACAATTATGCAGTTTTTGGAAATTTATTGCTATTTTGACCTCCTACTGACCTCTGTCTGTTTAAGTATTTGTAAAAGCAGATAACATGGTTCGGTCAACCTTTTAGTCTCTTTTTTTATGATTGAATGAGAAGGACGTGATGATTTATCATCATCTAATGTTGTTCAGACTGACCTATGATTATCAGTGTTACTATAGACAAGAATGTCTGATAAAAGAGATACAGTGAATTTCATTAATACCTCAGACTTTTCCACATTTTGTAACCTTATTATCACCGTCTTCAATTTATTCTACTAGAACTACTAGAGCAACAAGAGTCACATTTTACCAGAAAGTGTAAGGAAAACACTATTTTTTTCATGCAATAACACTTGAAAAGTGTGATGCATTTGAATTCATCCCCCCAAGGGGATAATTTTGTAAAAAAAAAAAAAAAAAAAAAACATGTTTGGAAGCTTACAAATTTTAGCTTCGCCTGTTTCTCTAAGAGCAACATCCCTATAAGAGTTGAAGCAAATCCCTCGCATTGCATTATAATTCCACCCCCATGCTTCACAGCATTAGTTTTCCTACACTTGATGTTGTTTTATTGTTCAGATAAGAAACCAGATTCTCTGCATGATCTCTAAATGTATCGTATAGATATTTTCTACTGAGTGAAATACTCCTTTTACTTTTCAAATGTAGTTAACAGTACTCCACTATGTTTTCAAATCTTGATAAATAGTTTAATGATCTGCTTAACACAGCCCTTTTTCTACCTTATAAATCATCATCTTCCTATCACTTTATAGTTATTCACAACTTTGCGTATGTCTAAAAGAAAAAAACTGTGGAGTTTGTGGATGCAACATAACAAAACACTCTGTATGATCAGTAAAAGCATTCTACATATAACAGCAGTCTTTCTGTAATCAGTGTCCTCTGTATATTAAAGCAGCACTCATGTAATTTAATCTTTGGCTTGATAAATGTCCTGAAGCGGAGTGACCATTATCTAATCTCGTTAGCAATGACACAGGAAACCAGCAAACACTCTGATAAATGGCTCTAGAGCATTTGGATGTTTTCTTCTCCTATCACCACAGAGGCCATACAATCTGGACAAGGTTTAAGTTTCAAGTATTCTAGGCCTTAAATTAGGATTTGGGGTAAATATTTCTTGAAGTTAAATGTTAGAATAGTAATGTGATAATGAACCGTCATTATAAATACATTATAATTAGGGGATGTAAACAGTTTAGTG